AATCACCCCTTGATTGACTTGATTTACCTAAAGATTTTTTCTCCTCTTTTCCCCCTCATTCTTGCACGCATTCAACACATTTTTCAAACCAAGAAAGAGCCCTCTCATACTCCATTTTTCTGAAATAATTATCCCTCAAAATCCTTTTAAAGATCGGCCCTCAATTCTCCTCCTTCTCGGCCTTTTTTCGAGCACTCGCCATCCCAAGACCAGCCTTCAAACGAGCAACCTTCGAGGAGTCCACGTCAAATGAGCCGAGGCCGCGTGAGCCGTTCGAGGCCAATTCGATTCTTTCAACTTCCATCCGACTTGTAGATTCCCGAAGCCGGGTAAATGATCCGATTCCGTCATAAATTATTTAATTCTTGGTGTTTTATTATAGATCCATAAGGTTGGAGTTGGATCTAATTCTCAAAAATTAAGATCTAGTGACATTTTTGAAGAAAATGTTTAGATCTTAGAGTTTTGAGTCCCCTTGTGATCATTGTGGATTTGGAACTCTCTAAGTGTCTTTATTTTTGTGAAAACGAGCCTTGATTTAATCTCCAAACCATCGTCGCGTTGTCGTTCAATCTTGTGTTGTTTGAGCCTTGAAAACCCTATATGAGACCCTTGTAATGCTTGCTGTTTAGTTGCTATTTGTACCTTCTAAAACGCAGTTGAATGGTTTCGAACTCTTCATGTGATTTGAAGTTCGGTCTCTTGTGTTTCCTCTAGAACAAGAATCAGGTGTTTATCTTTTATATACTGAAAGTTATGGCCAAAATTCAATTATCGCACGTTCAGTTTTTCTGATCCTTTGGTGTTACTTGTTGTCTGTGTTACTTGGCTGTTTTGAACCTCTTCTTGTGACCTGACACTTTTGTTGTCTTGTAATGAATTGTAGTTTTGCCTGTTGTGTTTTTAGAGGCATGAAAATCATTCAATTATCAGTTTTGTATAAAACGTTACGTTCGAAAAATACGATCATTACGCGAGTAGTTTTTCTAGAGAGTTGGTTGAAGCTTCTAGCTTAAGTTAGACCAGTTTTCATCCCTTTAACTTGATCGTTTCCATTCGAGGTCTTCACGAGAAATGTAATTCTGCCTCTTGGCTTTCTGTATTTTCAAAAATTAGTCCAAAATATTTTTAACATAAAAAATTATGTTCGTTATTCGGGGACTGCGCTTAAAAAAACTATCCGATTTTTTGGTTTTTGTGTTTTCACTCGTCCTTTTTCGAGTCGTTCGACCCGTTTTCGAGCCGAAACTTATTTTCTGCCTCGTGACACTTCTTATTCCAATTCTCCGAGAGTTCCAAATTCCACTAAGTGTTTCGAAAACCCTTAATCAATTTATTTTGATTAAGTGGAAAAATTTATTTGTGTTGTCTTTAAAGCGAGATAAGTTAGTGATAAAAATTATCTTATTTAATGTAGATTTGAGAGGAGTCGAGCCCTCAAATCTATCGTGAATCACTAGCATTCTCGTTTGTCCGAACATCAGGTGGGTGTTGATAAACTTTACTGTACAATTATTCTATATAATTGTGTGTTTTATAATCAATGTATGCATGTGAACCGCTGGTCTATGATAGGGTCTCCCGTTGTTGAGAATTCCAATGGTTGACCTATTTTTGCCTAATTAAAGTATTTTCCTGCCAATGGTAATGCCGGTGGGCTAGCTCCCGTTGTTGAGCATTCCGACGAATTAGCTCTCGTCGTTGAGAATTCCGACGATAAAGGTGTGTACACATGAGCGTAGGGCAATATCGGAGGTAGACGTTGTGATTTGTGTTCATGCTGCGGTTATGTCTTCAGTTATTATATTGAATATATTGCATGGTATTCCCACGATGAGCTTGTTGTTTGCTCACCCCTATTATTCTATCTTTTCAGGTTGAGTTGGTGGTCGTGGCCAAGACGAGATGGGGTGGTCTATTTGTGATAAACTATATTTTATTTGTTTCCGCTTAGCGTTTTCGACCTCATCAGGTGGTTATTCAGTTTTCTACCTCATCGAAATGTCATTCGGTTCTCGACCTCAGTGGCACCTCAGTGGAAGCTCATTCAGAGCGACGGGTCATTTGGTGTGGCAGGTTGACGGAAACAGCCAGAGGACACATTTCACTCTTAGATCGAATTATGCTCACTCGACCAGAGTGAGAGGGACTAGATGATATGAGATATTATACTAGACCGGTTGTAATGGATAATTCTACACATGGGCTAGGACACATGGCATAATGGTATTGGTCAAGCCCAACTTGGGCACTAAGGTACACCTCCCATATAAAAGGGACCTTAGGTATCCCAAAATCTCATTCTTACTATATTCACTACTATATTTCACTCTTAGATCGAATTATGCTCACTCGACCAGGGTGAGGGGGACTAGATGATATGGGATATTATACTAGACCGGTGTTAATGGATAAGTCTATATATGAGCTAGGACACATAGGCATAATGGTATTGGTCAAGCCCAACTTGGGCACTAAGGTACACCTCCCTTATAAAAGGGACCTTAGGTATCCCAAAATCTCATCCTTACTTCATTCACTACTATACTCTCATATTGCACTATCTCTCTCAGGTGAGTGCTGACTTAGGCATCGGAGGGAGTTCTTGCAGGTACAGAGGCCGTTCGAGTGGAAGGAGCTCGGGTGATGTCAATTTCACCAACACTACAGATCTATGGGCTGACAATGAAAGTCTTGGAGAGGAAGCCAACTTTCATTCTCTCTATACTATTATGTCGGCAATTGACACAACCTATCACAAGATGATCATTCAGTGTTCCACCGCACGAGATGAATGGAAAATTATTGAAAAGAAATTTAAGGACACAAACGCAGCAAAGTCCTCTAAGCTTCAAAGCATCACTAAGGAACTTGATGAGATTAGGAGGAAGAAGAGACTATACATATGTATTATGCTCGCTTTTGTGATCTAGTAAATCAAAGCTTTATGCTTGGTGAAGAGGTTTCGAAGGCAAGACAAGTGCACAAGGGAACTTCCTAAGAGGTTTTCACGAGAAAATATCTACATTGGTGAGCTTCACGAGGATTCAGCCCCTCGATATTGATGACTTACTTGGAGACTTGCAGACATTCGAGATTAACTATGGCTTCGATAACATGAAGTGAAAAGCTATAGTCCTGAAAGACAATGTTCAAACACAGGAATTTTGGTTCTATATTTACAAAAAAATTAAAAAAAAAAAATCGAATTCCTGCGATGCGTGCTCGGCTTCTTTCAACAAATGCGCAACAAAATTTCTGAGACAACTACAGTGCATGAGAAAGGTTGAAGATGATGGAGACAAAGCTAAAAAGAAGTCCAACTTTAGGTGTTAGGGACGATGCCACCTGGGTCAATTATTGTCCATAAAAGAGTGGTGTTGTCTGAGATTTAACAAGGCAGGGATGCAATGGTCCCAAAATATTTAGGTCCTGTATAATTTAATTATCTTCGCCTTGAACCACGGATTCTATAATCGAGGAAACATACGATAAAACGTGATTTTACCACGGATCTGACATAATCAATGATCTGAAATATGTGCAAACAAACATTGTTTGGGAGATAAGAGGCACAATCTCATCATATCTCCTCGAACAAATGAGACCTTAGTCCTGTACTTCTATCATGAAAAATTTACCTAATGCAAAATATTTGATATCCCTGCGAATTAATACAATGCTTATGAAGGAACTTGTACTTTTAGGCAGCTTTTGACCGTGTCCCATCCAATCACGGTTAAATTTAATTATCAATCACTTGCGTGTGTTTGTGTACAAATAATTCGTCCCATCATATTTTATACATTCTACCTGATAGTTCTATTGATATCATGATACAACTATTATAATGAAAGGTACATTTAGCACCTTAAAGGTTGCTGGAGCCAAAGCATGGGCCTAACCGAGAGAATAGATAAAAAAACCATTTAACCTGTAATTAAGGTGGGCTCCAATGTCCTATAATCGATTAGCAGCCACAGAAGACCATAACTTGTTAACGTGGAGTTTCTTTAATTTGGCAATACGCAGTTTTGTAATTGTTTTACACATTGTCCTATAGTTCACTATAATATCCAATGGCAATTGAAAAAAAAAAAAAAAGTAATACTATAAAATTAATTGGATAGATAGCATATTATAATAAGCGTTTTCTTGTGATTTCACCAAATATTTAGTAGTGTTTAGAGTCAATGTTGGTTACTTAAAGTATTGATATGGGTTTTGCTATTTAATTACTCAAAAGGAATTGTTTATAATGTCCACCTCTCCCTATAATAGCTAATATGTCATGATCTCTCCACCTTTAAGTCGGCAATTTTTTGTCTAAGTTAATAATAACCTTATATTTATATGGTGATAAGATGAGTAATCGACCAGAATGAATTTTTTTTTTTATTCCTTTTTATGCCTTTCCCTTGTATGGAAGGGGTGATTGGATGATCTAAAGCTGCCATTTCTGTGTTCTTTACGCCGTTTTATGATTGGGCCAACAGAAATCAAACCCAATATTTGCCTACAGAGTTTGTTTCTAACTCATCCATCTCCACAACCCAACCTTATAACTCAGGGTAAGGCTACAATCCCGTTACGGAACCATTCCGTTGGGATTTATAACCGTTAGATCAAGCATCATTGACGGTTACTTGATGATCTAACGGTTACAATCCCAACGAAATGGTTTCATAACGGGATTATAGCATTTTCCTATAACTCATCCCTATATAAGTTGAGGAATAAGCTCATGTTTGTTTGACTCTAAACAAACCTCATTTCTAATATAATTCACGCCCGCAGAGGACAATATAAATGCATACACTACAACTTCCTACAAACGTGGAATGTTTTTAATCGTTTAAATTGGTAATGATAACTCACACTTAAATCTAGAAGTACCATCATTCGAATTTAAACCATCTATCTTAGTAGCTTATTCAGCATATTAAATGCTATTATATCCAAAGGAAAATAAAAAGAAAAACGTAAAAGGAAAAGAAGCTCTACTTTTTGACCTTGCTCGATTTTCTTGGCCCGGGAATTTCCATCGTCCCCACCAAGCAACCGCACCTCGCGTGAAATACCAAAACTGCCCTCCCATTTACAGGCGCCATCTTCTTCAGCTCGGCCTCCAATTCCCTGTGATGATCTCCAGTCAACTCGAACAGACCCTTCTTCAAAACACTTTTCGCCTGAAAATTCGATTTCCGAACAGTATCCTCCGTCTCAAGCTGAATATCAAATTTGGCAGCTTTTTGAAGCCCGCGGCAGCCCGTTTTCCCGCACCGCCTGTCTAAAAATAACGTAATCGCCACTAAAGCCATGATCGCAAACAAGATACTGAGCCCCAGGCATAGAAACACGTAAGGTGCTCGATGAATTTCCTCAGAGACCACATCCGATATTTCCACTGTGAGCTCGATTGTCTTGCGGGATAGGATTGTGGCGTAAGGGTAGAGCAGAAAGCCGCAGGCGAGGAGCACGGCGAACAAGATGACAACGTCGATTATGGCGGAGGGGGGTTTTGCGCAGGGGATGGGAACTTTCTTGTTCTTCTGCTTGTGCTTCAAAGAGGGGTGATCGGTCGAGATCACGGGTTTGGCCATGTTTGTGTGCCGGTCAACTGCGACTGAGCTATGGAAACAGATCATTTGGATCGAAGTCTAGGAAACAAATAAAGGATATTTTTCCCCAAAATCCACCAGTCTAGGTCGAATTTTAGATCAGACCCACAATTCTACAAAAAATTACCAGATCAAACATGTTAAAAGCAAGAAATTAGTTTAGAGGGCATAGAAAATGGGTAATTTGTCGGCGGTCACGTCATACTAGAGAGTGTGTTTGCAGTAAACAGAGTTGAAACGGAAATGAAGTTAGAGAGGAATGGAAATAGGGAGTTTTATTGACGGACGTCTTTGAGAAAGCACGGCTCTCGGATATACTTGAAGGGAAATGTCAATATAGTGCACAAACATCCATTTGTATATTTTTTTGTTAGAAATATTTTTACTTATGTTGGCAATCTAGTTGTACACTAGGTTGACATAGTAACATTTTTCATATCTAAATGAAAAAAATTTGTTAGGTGTGAAAGAAAGTGGAAATAGTTTCAAACCTTACTGG